TCAATGGAGTAACCGGACACGGACTGCTGTCCCTGCTGGAGCAGCGACAGGGCTCGTGCCGCCTCAATTCCCCGCGCCGAGCGATCGAACACCTTGCGCAACTCCTTCGAGAATGCCTCAAAGGACAAACAGCAGTCATGCTCGCTATCCCACATGGCCGTTCCCCACTCTCTCGCTTGACCCACCAAGAGCGTGATGACGAACGCTACCCTGGATTGCTCCGTGGGGAAACAAGAAGGCTGGAGAGTGAAAGTCAGCGAGCATTGGGACAGGAATGACCGACATGAGTTGGGCTCACCCGAGTATGGAGCGGGCGGATTAAGCCACGGTTCCGCGTGGCGAGGAACTGCTCCTTCAGGGCCAGGAGCGGGTGTGCCAGCCCGAGCTGCCGAAGGGCTGGCCTGCAGCTGGTCAAGCCGTTCTACCAGCTGGTTGGAAATCTCCGAAATCTCCGAGTAGGCGCGACGAGAAGCCGCGAGTTCCTCCTGTTGTTGACCCAGAAGAGACAGGAGGGCTTTAATTGCTGCTCAGGTAAGCGGAGATTCCAGAGCTGGCCGGCAGACACTGCGGACCACTCGAGCTGCCGGACTCCGTACTACGAGTCCTTAAGCACAGGAGAACAGAGGGTCAGATACTGATGCTTGCACTCACAGGTTACACAAAGACACGAGCAAGGACAAAACAATCTACTCACGATGAAGGACAGACAGGCAGAGACATATAAGGGAGTGGGGGAATGAGCAACAGGTGGGGGAGAGTCTGCTCGTGATCTGCAAACCCCCGCTGCGAGATCAGCGCTGATTGCCCAGACCACAAGCTACCGAACATGACAGGACAACCCAGACCGCAGGCGAAGCCGAGAAGGCACCCTGCACCGTGACAATTTCATGTAAAAACTATTTTTAAAACGGTAATGACGGTAATGGTTGTTAGCCAATCATAAAAGTGGGCGGTTACACTGACCTCTTAAAGGGAAAACACCCCAAAACCGACTGTTTCAGTCAGAGGATGAGAAGCATGGTGAAAAAAGGTCATAAATCACTCAAATTTGAATGTTTTTCGTCCAAAAAAACTTTAGTAATATTATAAATACACCACAGGGAACATAATAATAATAATCATAATAATAATAATAATAAAATAAAAAGAAAACATGTCATGACCCCTTTATATGTCAACACATATAATAAATTTCTTAATATTAAAGCTTTAAAGGGGTCATATGATGTTGCTAAAAAGAACATTATTTTGTGTCTTGGCAGCAACAATACTACAGCGAGAATAAAAGTTACGGCTTCTTTCTTTGCGTGAACATTAGGGCGGCATTATGCAAATCTTCCCACATCGTGGCGTAGACATGTGGGGGGGGCGTGTTAGAACGAGCCGTTTTAGATAGGCGTGGTTGACTCTTAACTTTTATA